GTTTGAACCGTGACTCGCTGTGGGTGCGTACTGCCTATGATTCCTAAACTAGGATGAAACAGCTGTTCAATGCTTCTCTAACTGATATGAATCCGTGATCAACTCATAAAAACAAAACTCACCCTTACAAACCAACAATAGAAACACTGAAATATATCAGGGGAAAATAACTTGAAAATATGGCAAAATATTTTTTTAAAGGTGAATTAAAAAAATCAATTAAGTTTAGGACACGAAAATCCTTTACACCGAAACATGGTAAGTCCACAGCTCCGGGGAATGGCTGTTTTAAAAGTCACTGTTTCACGAATGAAACACGGTGAATTCATTTAACTCCCATAATAATAATCTTTGGAAAATTTCAATCCTCATGTCAGGTAAAAATCAATAAATATATACTCATTTCAAGTGATGGTTTTTCTTAGGGATTTGACTAGTCACAGATTCCGACCACGAACTGACATCAGAGTTAGGAATTCATTGGGCGAATGTTTCGTACTAGTCTGGAACTCTTTATCAGTACGCACCAGCGGCGGTTCGAACCCACGACGCCCACGTTACAAGGTGATCTCAAATACCATTCAGCGACTGTCTGTATGCAGGATGCGACCTGGAATTATAGTGAGAAGTCGTGACCAGTGTATAACAATGGGCTATATGTTGCGGACCGGCAAAATTTGAAATTCATGGGCTATCGGATAGCGCCTCAGAGGCTGAATGGTTTGTGAGGTTGCCATGTAACTGGGAGGTCACGCGTTCAAACCGTGGTGGGTGCGCGCCGCTTAAGAGTCCCAAACTAGTATGAAACAACGGTCCAGTACTCCTTGGTTTCCCAAATATAGTCATTTCGTTTGGGTTAATCGAATAGAACACAATTTAAGACGTCACTATTCGTTACGTACACATTCAGTTATCAGTATTTCGAAGTACAGAATCCAAAAACCAGAAACGCTTTTATATGAACACCGCAGACAATTCTTTTCTTGTCAATATCTTCAACAAGATTTCATTAGTAGTAGAAATAAGAAAGTCTATTTGACTTTTTAACCTGTACAAAAAAGCAGTAACTTCTGTTTAACACGCAAAGTTATGGCAGAAATTAACTTATGCCCAAACAACTTGTTGATTCTATTCATATCAGTCAATAAGATGCAATTTCAGGAATATCGAACTTTCTTAGAAAATATGAGTGGTCATAAAAGCAATACAGTGCCTACTGATTTCGAACATTGATTCTAATAAATCCTTCTCCTAACCACATATATATCAAGCAAGGGGGTTAATAAACGTGACTACTAAAATTAACCTTTTTAAAAGCTGTATTTGATACTACTGATACAGATACTTAAATGGAATAACGTTAATAGTAAAAAACCAGAAAGGAAACGTCAGTAGAGAATGAATGTCAACAACTGCAATCTAACTGAATAGAAGGAGAGAAATCAATGCAACAAAATTGAAACAGATATAAATAAATTTTGGAAACTGATTTATTACAATAAGATCTATATAGCATAAGGCAAACAGCTGATGGAAATTGCCAATCAACAAAACATCCTACTGGCGAACGATCAGCTGTTCTTTCATGTATTTTCGTATTAAAAACAACAATATAAAGTTACGAATATTCTGATGACAAAGGAAATAAGCTTATTACCTTGTACCATATCAGTTAGATTGTCTTATTGAATTCTAAAGACGATGATATTGTCTCCAGAAGCATGAATCTTCTTAAGGAATACTGGAACGGTAGATGCTGTACTTTGATTTCGTGTAATTAGCATCGACAGCTAGTTATCTCACGGTAAGGAAATGACGCCTGGATACGTCGGGTAGAAGTCATTCTTCAGACAGAGGTTCTACACTACAATCTGACACATCTTTTAGAGAGAAATGGAGATATTAGGCAGTTCTATCTAACTACATCAGCTAGATGTGGGGAGTGGCTCTGCAGCTGTCGCTTTTATCTCAGGAGCACTTTCTGATCAAAACCTTGTGGTTCGTAACGTGGGTACTATTCGATTTCATAAATAAGAGCTTGATGTACTAGCTGTCAGCTGAGTTGGACCGATGTGAATATGAAGAAGTTGTAATGAACTCGCAGAGAACGAGTAGTCCCTACAAGTATGTTGATTGAGGATGTAAGAGGCTTTACTCGACATCATAATGGTGTCATGTAAGTGCAACCAATGCTCTTCTATATTCGATCAGTGATAATCAGTTAGTCTTGAGTCCAGTATGGTTTGATATTTGTCTATAATGCTAAAAGTGAGCAATCTGCTAACATGAACCTGTTTAGGACGTTTATATTCACCACGTAATCACAAAAGAAACTTGGCTCATGCCTTCGTAGCTGATAAAAACGTGATCTATTTGAGTGCAGACTAGAGTCGCAGGGGAAGGACACCAAGTAGGCTTTGACCTAAGCAAAGGTACAGATGTCTTACCAGTAATCACTTAATCCCAAATGACTATCTACACGACTCTCCTTTAAATCTAGGCACCAGACCTGTGCATTTAAGTCACCAGATAGCACTACGATATTTGTCGGGAACGTTTGTTTCAGATCAGTCAAACGTTGGTAATGCAGGCATAGATGAGAAAACAACGCTTCTCTGATCAGTATAACTTCTAGCCGGACAGAAGACGAATGACTGCTTTAATGACGTGTTCAGTGGAGTAATAATACACCTTCAGCACTATTCCATAGTGCGACATTGACACCAGTTAAAATGGAAGTCTATGCTATAAGGTCACTGGATAAATACACGTGAAACATAGCGGATTATTAATGCACTATCTATATTTTTATGTAAGCAAGCACCATTTCAGTTTAACGAAACCAATCCTGGAACCTACATTCGATTCTAACAATCAAGTTGTTGCTCTTACTAACCCCTGTCTCTGGTTGGAGGATAAACTACACGGGCCATACATAAACCACTAGAGCATTTTCAACAACCCATGGACCTTAAGTGTTACCAAATCATGAATAATCATAGAATTTGACCATCTCTATCTATCTACGTATTCCTAATAATAAAGATACATATACTGAACAAAACTTCGCCTCAATTTCTGAAGTGCAAGTGTTAATCTCGAAGGCTATAATTCTAATATCATGCATGTCAAGACCAATAGGCTCACACAGGATTGTTTACGCTGGCCTGAAATAATGTGAGGTTAACTGTGCGTCGGTGGCACAGCGGTTAGGACGCTCGCCGACACCATGCATATGGTCCGGAGTTCGACTCCCCCCCCTCAATAAACTAGTAATAAAGCTGGCAAAGAGGAAAGGTTGGTCTGGGCATAAGGCTAGCAACCCCCGCATCCTGTAAAGAAATAAACACCACAGCTACAGAAACTTCAAGTCTCTCTCTAGCTTGGAGCCCTATGTTCCACTGGGAACGTGAAGGAGAGAAAAAAACAACACAACATGAAATGGTTGTCAGATATATTTCTTTTATTTGTTATTGTTATTATTATGATATTATTATTATTATTATCATGAAAACGAACTGAATAACGCTTTAGTATCCGACTTCTGAATACTCACTCACTTAACAAAAAAACACAAGCCAACTTAACCACTAATGGTAGTAGTAGTAGTAGTGGTAGTAGTATATGACTGATGTGAAGGAAACACCTTCATCAAAGCAAAACAAAAGAGAAGGAAACAAAGAAAGAAATATAAACGAACAAAAAACAAACAAACAAGTGAATGAACGACAAAAATAACAACTAGATAAAGCAGCTAGAGAGAGAGAGAGAGAGAGAGAAAATCAAAAGAAACATAAACTTGCAACACAGAAATATGGCGTCGGTAGCGATAGTAATAATATTAGTAGTAGTAGTAGTAGTAGTAGGGGGAGGACGTATGGTATACTATTATGATGAACGCGTAGAAACGAGTCCTTTGGAAACACCGAAAGAAATGAGAAAAAAACAGGCATAATGACTAAGAAAACAAAAAGAAGTATTTATTATATATTAATTTTTTCCTCTAAAAACAAAATATTAAACAAAGCAGCAAGACAGACACATAGAGAAAAAGGAGTTATGTAACTTGAAGGATGAAAGGTGTGTGCAACACACTAAACAATAAGAGAATAGGACAGCAAGCAGGATAACAGGCTGCCGCCGAATTATATTGTGAAGGTTGTTTGACACGCGCGCGCACGAGCACACACAGTGTGTGTCAAAAATGTGAATATATGAATATATATGTAATGTTCAAGAAGATATGAAGGACTGAACACGCACGCACGTACGTACACACAGGGGAAAGACCTTAAAGCGTGAATGAATGAGTGTGAAATGCATTAATTGTTTGTTCTGTTTTTCTTTCTTCAAGAAGAATGCTCTCTCGCTCTAAAGAGAGCAGTAGATATACTACTCATCATCCAATGAAGAGAAAAGTTCTGATTTGTGCAGAGAAATATACAAAAAAACCAAAAGCGCAAATATATATTTTGGAGCTTGAATTAAATAACAGGGAGGAACACAGTTGTTTGCTTTGTTGTTTTTGAAAGGTATAAGGAGAGAGAGAGAAAAAAGAAACGGTAAGTAAGTAAATAATCACAACATATATGACGACGACAACGACACCCATGTGTTATTTTTAAAGAAAAAAAACAGCTTTCATAGATAATTACACAAACAAATACAGATTATATTGAATGTTATAAGCTAATTAATTAATAAATTGACTACTTCCTCTATCTCATATATATGTATATATATAATAATAACAGCTAAAATTACATACATTCTATGACTTCTTCTTGTTATTGCTGTTCGTGTTGGGGTTGGTGTTGTTGTTGAGAGTTCAAAGACGACTACACAACGATGATGATGATGATGATGGTGTATAAGACACACAATAAAAAGTATTGACAATACAACTACTAATACTATTACTAATATACATGTACAGTTTATTGAGGAAAAAATATACACATATATATGTATTGAAGGATAATTGTGAAAAACCAGAGAAAAACTTCTCTAACTAATGAAGAAGTTGAAATTTAGCTGCGCGAATGTACAAATTACAAAAACAGAAGAAGAAGAAGAGCATCAACAACAGCAACAACAACAAAGAAAAAGGAAGGAAAAGGGAGAGAGAGAAGGGGATTAAAACACGCACGGACGCACGCACCCACCCACACACACACACACAAACAGGATATGATGATGATGACAATAGTAATATATATTAAGAAGTAGATATATATATATATATATATAAATATAATTAGAAGCAGTTATTCCACAATGATTGTATTACTTTCAATGTGGGAAGTTCGGCGTGAGGTGGGGATCATACACAAACACACAAAAATACATCTGATGGTTGCAGAAACCGTGAGCAAAGACTGATGATGAAGGAGAAGAAGAAGGGGAAAAAGAAGAGGGGAAATACAGAGAACAAAAACAACCCCTGAGATGATGATGCTGATGCTAATGATAAAGTATCAACACAAACAGACCCTCACAAAAAATGTTTAAGAACATCACACAACATGATAAAGTGGTGGTACACAGTACAATAAAAAAAGAAAAGAAAACAACTAAAAATAAAGTGGGGAGTTCTTTCTCAAAAAGGATGCTCTTTAATAGGAGAGACTATGGGATTATACATTCGTATATGTATATACGTATGTAATGAATGCTGTCGTTATTTATTTATATACTAATCACTATTATTATAATCATAAAATGAGCAAAACTACTACTGATTATGTTGTAAAATATACTTTGTGATGACATAACATGCGAAGAGAGAGAAAGAGGGGGGGGCAGAGAAGATGTGACAATAATAATAATAATAGTACAAATGAGAATAACAGTAATAATAACAATAGTTATTATTATTATTATTGTGATGACAACAAATAGGACGGATGGATAGATAGATAGAGTAATATCGAAGACATTTTTTCTCCCACTTTCTTGTTTTCTTCTGAAAGTCAATTATTATATAGTTAGTTAGTTCGTCAGTTAGTTAGTTGCCTATCATTATGCAGAAATTTCACATTTTTTATAATATGTGTAAGTAAATATAAACTCTTCTCTCAACACCGGGGTTTGAAACATTTTTCTTCCTGTCTCCACACTCACTCACTCACTCACACGCAGACACAGTCAGAGAGACATCAAGATTAAATTAATTTATTCTCTTTTCTGTCACAGAAAGACAACAAAAAAGATTGATTATTTCCTTGCTGCTGTTTTTATTATTATTATTGTTTTATTGTTAATATTAAATGAAAATATTGATTTCTCAAATTTTTTTTAATATATTTATTTTATTTATTTATTTATTTGTGAATGAATGAATCGAATGAGCGAGTGAGTGAGTGAGGCGAATAAATGTGAATGAACGAATGAGTAGTAGGTGAGCAAGTGAGCGAGTGAGTGAGTGATAAGCAATATTTGCTGGAAAGATAAGGGGATATTATTAAATACAATTTGATGTGTATAAGAAGAAGATGATGAAGGGAAGAGATAATACTACTACTAGCGTGTATATATATATATCATCCAACAGCTGTTTAGACGGTATCAGCAAAATACAACAAATACACACAGATTGAACGACTGAACGGCAACACACACTACGGTTCGAAAAGAAGCGGAAGTAGCCATTCATCTTCTTCAACCGGTCTGAAAGTTAAAAAAACAACAATGACAGTGACAATAATGTCCTTAGAAGGAGACGGAAATCGAGAGAAGAATAATTATGATAACTAAAATCTGGTTATGACAAACACACTCAATGAAAGCAGAGACAAGAAATACATCTATTATTATTATTTAAACACAAAAAACTTGGTGCAATATGACACCAAGAAGATGCGCCACACAATAATAATAAAACAACATAAATTAAAAGTAAAAATATATATAAGTGGAGGATGGATAAAGAACTTCCTCTGGAAGGAAAATAGCCATATTTAACAAGTTCAAACAGTATTCGTCAACTATCGTCGGGACGGGAAGAAAGAAGGAAATTCCAGCACGTTCGCCATTGAATTACGATTCTTGGCCATATCCGATAACGTTTCGAGTCACCGATTCGAGCTATCTCGCGGACCCCAGCCAGGGAGTCGTGACGCACCAACCGTTGCCAACCTAACACCAATATCCTTTATCTCACGACGCCACACGTCATGGACTGACCACCTCTCCACCTTTTCTATGCTGTCCTAAGGCTAGAGAACAGAGACATGTACGGAAGCCTCTGGGATGACATTCGCTGCACATGTCCACGCCACCGAAGCCGGTGTTTCCAGTTGACGACACTCAACGAATGTTGATCTCCACTGTGTCCAAACACAGGCTGCCGGACCTCAGAATCACTCACGCGATGATGCCATCGAGCGCAAACAATCCTGCCGAGACAGCGATCATCGAATACGCAGAGTCACCTCACATCCTCAGCTCGGAGAGGCCAGGTTTCACAGGCGTAGAACAAGACAGCCCGCACCGAAGCATTGCATACCCGACCTTTGACAGCCAGGCGGCTAATGTTGCGACGGCGCCAGAGGTGGCTCAAGTTAACGTAAGCTGGTAATGGTAACACACATTCAAAAAAACACCAAAAAGTATGATGGGACACTTCCTTCTAAAATTAACTCAGAAAAAGTGCTCATATTTTTCCCTCCAAAAAGTTGACGGCCTGTTCAAATTACTGGGCTAAAATGCATGGATATTTACTTCGTTTCACATTGTTCGAAGCAGTATCTAATTATCACAATGAGTCGCAATTTATACTCAACTCACAATTTCAAAAAAGGTTTTTACCTATTTGCTTGGAATTTTTCGAAAGAAATGGAGGAAAAACATTGTGAATTAGTATAGGGATATACTTCGGATGGAAAGATATTTCTTCATATGGAGGGATTATCGGTTATTATACTACTGTTCAAAGATTTTGCGTAAGGAGTAAAAGTGCCTTGCTATGAAACTCGCCGAAAATTCTGTGACATGTCTAAATGCACTTTTCAGAATAAAGCTATCATACTTGTTGAAAAAGATAATATCTATTGATATGATGCGTTGAGGTTGAATAGCTAACGTTTACTGTACAACATAAGCGACAGCTTGATTATAAATGCTATCAAAATGCAGGAGCCCCCATGTAACTAAAATCACACCGATACAGCGTTAAATCGTACAACTCCCATCACTATGGTGTACAATCTTGATTGTCTTTAGTAAAATAACCTTAACCGCTTCAATGATGTGATTCTAGCAGCTTGTATTCCTCCACTTTACTGAAACAAACAGCTGTTGTGTGAAATGTAGTTGTCGAGTAGAATGATTTTATTTGACCTAACCTATAAGGCTGACAAGTCTTTCTGATAACAGAATACATGAAATAGTTAACCCTTTGATTATTTAATACAAACACCATTTAACACTCTTCAGATTTAACGAGATGTATCTGTTATGCTTCGCAAGACGCTGCGACTGACTAGGGAACACCGAGTTGGACACATCTAGCGCATCTGACCACGAATACCGCTTGACTATGGCAAAAAACATTATATGACAGCTACCTATTCCCCAGCCCATTATACTTAAGCGAGAGCACACAACAACGTGAGACGAAAAGTTTATTTTCCCATCAGCTATAGTCTATTTTACACAATAGTGTATGATTCAAAAAATCACCAAGGTTACGTCAATTAGTCTTTATTCATGACCAATTAAATAGTGGGAGTTATTTTACGTTGGCTAGTTTTCATTGGTTTAATTCCAGACTGACCTTGACCAACAATTTACCAATAAAGGATAATCCATTGTTTATCTGTCTACACATATCAGTATCGACAAACTGACATTATACCAACTTGTATGGTAATACGGTTACTTAGTGTACACAGTATGCTTTCTATAGTTGGTTTGTGGATTAGTTTTGTGTTTACGAGTTGATCACGTATTGATATCAATTAGAGAAGCATTGAAAACCAGGGAATACTGGACAGCCAGCTGTTTCATCCTAGTTTGGAAAGCATCGGCAGTACGCACCAAACACCAGGGTTCTAAACCAGGACCTTCCGGTTACAAGGCGAGCTCGTATGCCATTCAGCGGCTGGGACCCGATTCAATGACCCATGAATTTTAACTTCTACCAATTCGTGATGAGTTTAGCGCGATCCCAACCAATGTCGTCGGTCACTTTGCATGACTCTAATGACTACTTATATTTTTGCACCAAAAAGTCATTCAAAACTAACACGCTGTTCACACACTTATTTTGATGAAAAAGGATTGTACAGTGTAACAATTTTTATGTCAGTTTCTCAGGTGATTTCTCTCTAGAGGTGCAAAACACAGAGAACGTCAGTCAGACAACTATGGATTGTTTATACTATGCTCACGGTACTTTACCAACATGTTTAAAACACAGGTTGGTTCACGCCAATGAGTTCTGCGACATGACGATGACCATGGAAAATGAAAAACACAAACCGAACACAATCAAAATTCCTCTCATGGCATTGAAGAAGGCATGTATTATGTTCATTATTTTAACATGAAAAGCTGTCTTATAAGTATCTTCAGTCGACCACCCAACAAAAACAGAATACTGCCTAAGAAACCAAAAGTAAGCAAAACCACATCTTATACAGAAGTCACTAGCCGGCGTCACCTCATATCCAGCTGATAATTTCCAGTATATAGTAGGGAAACAGGAAGATACAATCTCATAGACTTTAATATACAAAACTTGGGAACGAGACAATAGCAACAACAACAACACAGCAACAATGAAAAAAAAATAAATAGATATTCCAACTTACTCATAATCTTCAGAGATTGTATCCAATGGTGTAGGACTGGAATAACCAACACGAAAATTACGTCTAGTTACCGGTATACCAGTTCGTCTGCGATTAGGTGGTAAAGGATCACGATAGTATAATTCATACAACTGGCCAACAAGATTTGCGCATTCGCATACATCAAACCAATCAACCTGTAGCAGCACAGAAATTATAAAATGTGAAGTTAATAATATCATTAATCTCATTCAAGTGTACAGTATCAAGGCAAACGACTGTTTTGACTTAATGAGTCAGTCAAAATGAAAAGTTTTTGATCTAGCTACACGTGAAAGCTGACAACTCAATGAAGGAAAAAGAGAACTAAAGATGATAGCCCTTCGCATGCAAAACTAATGGAATGGTAGGCTTTTTCCGCTCCGCATATTTAAAAAAATATATAACTTTTATCTTTTATTTTTGATTACAGCTTGATTCCACACCGTATTTTCGGTACAAGTACGGAATTCTCAGCACGCGATATCAGTAGACCAAATTGTGCAGGCCGACCATTGATATCAGGCGTGCATCGGCAGCGGTTCGAACCCCGGGCCATGTGCATGGTCGGCGAGAGTCCTAACCACTGTGCCACCAACGCATAGTTGTGATCCCTAATGGCTAACTTGTATGATAAGTAGTGACTAAAGAGACGGCTGCGAGTCGGCGGCACAGTGGCAGAATGCCCACCAACCACGCCTCATGTTGTCCGGGTTCGACCCCTGGTCAACGCACACCTAAACCTCGCCAAGCCAGTAATAAGACTAGTAAAGACGGGGAGGGTTGGACATGAGTCTAGCAAACCCATCCCGTAAAAATAAACACCACTGTTACCGAGACTTCAAGCCTCTAGCTTGAAGCCCTCTATCTGTTCCACTGGGAACGTGGAGGAATACAGAAAATGCGACGGCTATCTACACCAAATCGCCAGTATTTTCAGTTTACTTTAATGTCATTTTCAAACAAATTTATGCACGAACATAACACTAATCACCAGAGCTTTTAAGAATACAATTTAGATGACAAATTATGAGAGTGTATGTAATCAGTGTATACGAGAAGATTCTAATAAAGACGAACTGACTGTCTATTAGATGGCTTCCCGTGTAACTCAACTTCAACTCGATTTACGTTAGTGCTGAACACCATATATATATATATATATATATATATATATATATCAATAGTTGACTAAATAACTGAAGCAATAGATAATGCAATGTAACTGACTTAAAGGAAAGAAAATACCAAAATATGAGCAAAGAATAAACAAGAAACAAGCACCTCATGAGTACGAATATGAATCCAACTAATGCTCCAAAGGACCAAAAATAATCAGTGAGCCGTTGGTTCGGGAGAAAAGACGCTGACAACAACCACGTCTACATGACTGTTGGGGTCCGATTCTCGGTTGATACACCCCCCTCTTGAACCTCACCTAGACAGTAGTGAACCCAGAAAAGAGGGAAGGCTAGGCTAGTAGCACCTAAATACCCGTAAAAACAACACATACACTACTGAAACCTTAAAGCTTATCCCTTGAAGCTTAATGTTCCACTCGGAAGGGAAAGGGATGAAAAAAAAACCAACTCAATCGATTTACATTTCTTCAATAAGCCCACATATTTAAGACTATCCCTTATCTTGTAGGCCTACATATAACTCAATGAAATAGTCCTAACTTGCTAAGAAGGTTTCAATGAAAATTACTCTTCGCAGCACATGACCATTCATTACTGTATACAATATGGCTAATAACATTTAGTGTGTGTGTGTGTGTAACCATGTGAATTGTGGTTGTTTATTGTTTATAAAATATACAATGTAAACATTTCCTCGTTTTACTACACACAAAATATAAACATTTGCATCATACTCTCTATAAATATGCATAATTTACGTCATTGTACGTCTTTTCCACGTAATGATAAATTTCAATCGGGCGTGACCATTAATTATTAACTATTATTTATATTTCTTTGATACTGACCTCATTTAAGGACATTACGCTTAAAGTCAGTTAAACAGTGGATTATCAATGCAAACGTCAAGTCAGTTTTGCTATACGGATCAGAAACTTGGCGGCGGGACACAAAGAATATTTCCAACAGCAGGTTGCAGACCTTTATCAACAACTGTCTTCGCTGGCTCTATACTGAAGATCAGATGGCCGGAAACAACAAGAACCAACAAGAAACTATGGGAACAAATAAAACAAGAACCAATCGCTCAACAAATATGCAGGAGAAATTGGAGATGGATTGGACACTCACTGAGAAGGCCGCTGGGTGACATCGCGCGTCAGGCCAACGCTCGAGTGGAACCCGAAAGGGAAGTGGCGAGTGGGACGTCAGTGCAAGGGTGACATGGAGGAGATCGTGTGAAGAGGAGTTGAAACAGTATGGACTAACTTGGATGCAAGTGAAAAGTACAGCAGAAGACAGAAGCAAGAGGAGACGTGCAGTTGAAGCTCTATATTCCACTAGTAACCTCGCCTAGATTACTAACTCACTAGTTTTCTAGCCGGTCCCAAGTCCGGATAAAGAGGGAGGGTTGGGGCGTGGTGCTAGCAACTCCACCCCCAAAACTTAACCAAATCGCTACAGAAACTTCAACGCACAAATATATTAAAAATTTAAGCATTAAGTACAATACAAATGAATCATTCAGGAAAAAAGACAGTATAATCACATGGAATTTTCCATCAGTCCAGTGTTATTACCCCCCTAACATTGAAAAAAGTAATAGGCCAGCTGCTCAGCATGCACAAAAAGTCTCTGAATTAAGTTACTTTGTATATAAAGACATATGAGTACTGTGAAATTAGTCACCTAAATATTCGTAATCTATAGTATCCCATTTCCTTGAAATCGATCCTACACTATAATACTATCAAGCTTTGTTACTACTCTTCTCTGTATACACACACGCGCGAGACTGCAAAACATCAAGAATAAATTGAATATATGAGAAAAAACAGCAGGTATAAAATTACTTACCCCACATAGATCTGCTAGAGGAAGAAGACCCTCTATACCACCTTGAGCCAAAATACCGAGTGCCAAACAAGCAGGACGAAAACGATAAACCTCCAAGGAACACAAAGCGATCTCCATAAGTGCTCCTAAACGTTTGTACAAAAACGTACCACAGGAAAACTTCTTCCGAGGAGTTGTTACAGCATCCTTTTTCACCTCATCTGATTTTTGTACACTTGAGGTCACAATGGTTGTCTCTGTAACTTTCTCTTCTGAAGAGTTCTCATCCGACTGAGGCACGAAACTGTCCATATTTGTCGCACTATCCGGTGTATCATATTCATTGATATCCTTGGGAGATTTAGTGATGCAATCAATGAAAAGTTGCAGGAAATCGAATGCATTGACTCCATCAAGATCATGCGACAATTTGGAAGCAAGAATTTCTTCCATACGCAACAGATCAGCAGCGTTACCACCGCAACGAGTAACATGTACCAATGTTTCCGGATCAGGTAACACAGCATTCTACAATTGAATAATATTGTAAACGAAATTACGTTACTGGTACATAAATGGGGAAATATTTCAAAAATGCAACGGGATTTAATTGAATTAACCATAATAACGTGCATAAACTTCTTAAACTTGTGCTAGCACATAGAAATGATCATAATGCCAATGTGATCAAAAGCAATTTGAACAGTATACATAAACTGCTAAGGCCTGTATTACTCCTTTCGTGGGAAATGAGAAATAATTCTTCCCTATAAAGGATAACTACGATTTATTCAGATACCCACACAAAACAAATCACTAACGTCGTATAAATCTGTGCAATAGGTTGTGGGGCACCCCTGGTGTAGGAAAACTCGTAATACACCAAATTACTGCAAGGGAAGAGAAGCTCAAACCCACGAACTAATGACTAACAGTCAAAACGCAGATGAGCAAAATATACATACAACATTCTGCTGTTCTTACAAAATAAAAAAATTATAAAGTAGTGACTCAACGGTTTAAGTACTGAAAGTTTATCATATAAATATCAATACGTCAGCACAGAAAATCAGCATCCACAAGTTACTTATCTCTAGACTAAAACTACATCACTTCATATTAAGGTGTGATTAGCACTATTGAACTTTAGAAAGCCATCGCTTCAGTTTCTCTACAGGTATATACTCTCCAAGTTCCTCTCACCAGCAACTTGGACCTAAAAGTTTTAACAGATAAGTTTTTGTGACCTATACAGCACAGACACACATCCCTTGTTGACTAAGCTCCGCGTACGGAAATACATCGAGTAGTTATTTGTGTTGACTATTTGCAGAACCATAACATGCTGACAAAGAGTAATGAAGTCAATTTCACAGTTGATTTTTCACAAAACTATGTTAGCATCACGGAAGGTCCCGAATGTCAGAGGATCACGGTTTGATCTGACAACCCTCCAGTCTACAGTTATTAGGCTATACTAACTTATTTTCATACGTTATCAATACTTTTGTAATGATCTTTTATTTATTTAAACGCAGAAAAAACAATATGGCACCAAGACGATGCGCCACACAATAATACAACATAGATTAAAAGTAAAATTATAAGTAGAGAACGGATAAAGAAATTCATCTGGAAGAAAAAGTCATATTTAACAAGTTCAAACAGCATTCGTCAACTATCGCCGGGAAGAGAAGAAAGAAGGAAATTACAGCACTTTCATTACTGATTACGATTCTCGGTCATATACGATAACGTTTCGAGTCACCAATTCGAGCTATCTCTCAGACTCCAACAAGGGAGTCGTCACGCACCAACCGATGCTAATCTAACACAAATATCTCTCATCCCACGACGCCACACATCATGGGCTGACTACCTCTCCATCTTTTCCATCCCGTCACAGGGCTAGCGAACAAAGACCTATACGGAAGCCTCTGGGATGACATTCGCTGCACATGTCCACGCCACCGAAGCCGGTGTTTCCAGATGACGACACTCAACGAATGTTGATCTCCACTGTGTCCAAACACACGCAGCCGAATCTCAGAATTATTCACGCAATGATGCCATCGAACACAAGCAATCCTGCGAAGACAGCGATCACCGAACACGTCGAGTCGCCGCACATTCTCAGCTTGGAGAAACCAGGTTTCACAGATGTAGAGAGCAAGACAGCCCACACCGAAGCATCGTATACCCGACCTTTGACAGCCGGGCTAACATTGCGACGGCACCACAGGTGGCTCGAGTTGATGTATGCCACCCTAGCCTTCATGATACGGTTGAAAATCACCCCTCTGCCAGCACTCACACAACAACCCAGATACACAATGAATAGTATTGTATGATTTTATGATTGCCTGCAGGAGGAGTTAGTGGATTAACAACTCAGATTGATTAAGACGACGATAATTTCACTCTAACCACCGCAGAACAGTGACGTCATTTCAACAGGAAGTAGTGCACAATAATATTTACTCTTAAGCCTATGACATAACACACAAACAATCACACTGTTTGATGTCCTAAATATATATGCGCTTGTATATATATTTGCTAGTAAGTAAGTGCAAGAAGAGAAAAATTAAACTAAAACAATCAATAATAGTGAAACATTCAGCAGGCTGTAGACTTAATCGAAAGAATAATCAATATATGCATCATATATCTAGGTTAGGTTAGTGTACTCGAAATAATTGATATTGAGACTATACACACACACACCACATTGTTTATATGCATTCACTTTTGTAGTAGTTTGATTTTTTCTTAAGAACTAAATTGACTATACTCTGTGTTGTGTATATATTAAAATAGTGTGATGATATCACTTTTTAAGTGCGAAAACATGTCTACTACTACACACACATACATAAGAAAAAGAAAACTAAACCAACCCATTAGGTTAACATCCCTAACTGACAAAATAATCACACTATATCGCTTTACATGTACATGTGTTGTGTGCGTATAAGGTTAACAACACAACAACAGATTTGATAAAGCCTAACAACAGGTGTAGAAATGATTATAGTTGATGCACTTAATGTTTAATTATTATACACAGGGGATATATATCACATCCTGTGTGTATAGAAACTTTCAAAATGTTATTTGCTAATCTGTGAACTTCAAAAGTACACAAAATACCGTTGACAGTAGTAGTAGTACAGTTTTGAGAGTGCAGGTGATTTTACTACTTACACACACAACTGTAGAAAAAAAAGATGTTGAGAGAAGTATAGGTCTGTCTATTGGGGGTGGGGGGGGTGTGACAATCAGAACACATACATAATACATGAGCGATAAGCTACAAGGATTGTTGTATTTCTGAATGCGTATGTATGGTAACTGGAAGAATCATTTGTTTAGACCAACACAGTTCACAAAACAAATGAGGAAACTAGACTGATATTGCTTGACAGCAACTGAGGTACATATACACTCCAGTAAGATAGTAAATAGCCGTTTGTGAAATTTTGGATTTCTAGAGTTTGCTTTCGCAAGAAAAATTATTTTCGGAGAAGTCATATATCTAACCTAAATGTGCAGTTTATAATAGTCAGTCTCATTTGCTCTAACAGTCAATTTTTTTTAACAGTACAATAAGTTGAAGACGTTTCAGTTGTTTCAAATATAATCAATCAGAGGAAAAGTTTGCGGCAACAGTGTTCTTCTTGATACTTCATTGGCAAACTCAGTCGACTTATTTCATAATAAGCCTTTTAGGTTCAGATGTATAGTGTTTATCTTTAGTTTTAGGGCCTGTTATGCCACAGTATAGGTGAGATTAAAGCCGAAACAGGCTTCTTCTACTTCAAACGCTACTAAGTGGCACCGTTTTTTCTAGTCCAATGGCGTAAAGCTTCTAGAGGATTCGATTATCCCACATTTGAACAAAACACGTGTCAATGACGCCTAACAATACAACTTGAAATTATGTTTTGTGGTGTTGCTTAAATCGCCTTATTTCTGTCAGACTACGAGTTCCCAACACGTAAGAAAATCTGAGCCTTAAGCATCTGATCCTTAATCATATAGAGTGAGGAGATAATACAGCAGTTTACAACTTATACGAACCTATGATCTTCTTATGAAAGACAAGATCCAGCCTATGAAGGTATATATCTTTTTTATTCCTTCACGTTCCCAGTGGAACATAGGGCTCCAAGCTAGAGGCTTGAAGTTTCTATAGCTGTGGTGGGGGCTGCTAGCCTCATACCTAACCTTTCCTCCTAACCAGCTGTTATTACTGGTTTAGCGAGGTAAAGGAGTGAGTCGGTGGCCGGGGATCGAACCCCAGACCATGTGCATGGTCGGTCAGCGTCCTAACCGCTGTGTCACCGACGCACTGAATGTATATAGAATAGCTTAAAATGTGTTGCAGTGATTAGCACACGTCAAGTCGAACTATACACCTTAGTATTAGTGTATAACGCATGCATTATCTGTGGATGACTTCCTTTCATACTATTTCCTTCTTTATGCTAACATCACGTATGTGACGTACCAACACACTCAACATATTCGAGCATGATTACTGCACAGACTGTGAGAACGAGCTAAGTAAACAGTAAAAAATTTGTCTTAGTGTTTTCGTAAATTACTATATGACCCGATGTCAAATACACCCACTCTCTGTGTGTATATACAATACTAAACAAAAATAACCTCTCTAAAGGTGAACAGAACAAGTTGTCGAATAAAATATTAAGGATAAAATGAAACAATTAGCATCACAGTTGACCGAAGGTGATAATAAACAATTTTGTTTAAAAAAACAAAACAAAACAACTGAATCCGACGTAGGGACACGGATAAACGATACACAAAGTGGTGTGATTTTAAGTAGAACAGTCTACATAAAAGTAGTTAGTAGAGATTCAAGGTTAGCATTTATTATTTCGAATTGTACAAAATCAGTTGGAGTATAATATAATACCAACACATCTCATTCAGCAAAGGAATGTAAAATTAATTGTAAGCTTTAAGATACAGCGCATAAGGCACCAACAATGATACTACAACACAACACAACATAACTTAAAGCCACTTTTATATTGTTTAGAATTCCAAGGAACCCTATCAGAAACAGATGCGTATATACATTATCAACAGAGGTTGTCACACCCCGTCATTATATAAATACAAAGCAACAAGAAAAAAGAAAAAGGATCAACAAAGTAAAAGGCAGATCAAATGAAGTCAGAGATGCTATCATTATTATTATTTAAGACACACCCTTTAGTAAACTTTAATGTTTGAAGTACTACTGGACTATGAGAAAAATTTTAAACTGAATACATGAAATGCATTTTACAATCCCATCTCTGCTTCAAGTTCAAAAATGGACAAACTAATTCGGGGCAACTTAATCCAGTAGTATATAGAGAGGTGGGCTGTAGTACACATACACACAACACTTCATATAGCTTTTTCAAGAAAAGATGACAAACAACATACACCACAAAGGACAAACGTTAAACCTAAGTGAATAACATGAATGAATGCCCGACTATTTCCATGAGTTGTTCATCAGAGATACAAATATTTAGGTATGTGTCAGTTACGAAGTAATAATATACCGTAAAACCTAAAAATACACAACAATGGTCATACGACAATTTTATAGCATAAGTGGTAGCTGAGATGGGTGTTAAGCGAATAAGTCATACAACTAAATAACTTCTACTTAAAGATCAGTATTTAACTGTTTCGTGATGAGATATCCTATAAGGTTTAGTTTCATGAAACGCAGTATTTGAGTATGTTGACCACCCTGCTTAGAAATGTGGACACAGAAGATTTAGCACTGTTTAACATCTGAGTGCCAGAGGGAAATTGTAGTATGTCGTCCCAGTTACAATTATCACCTATAAAACACCTGAGAAGTATATCCCGTTCCACGAAGTTATGCTCAAAATATAGCTAGAAGGCATAGAGGATATGCAAAGGCCATAGGCATTCAACCACAAATTGTTTCGTTACACTCGACGGCGTCTAGTGAAACAACTGTTACACAGAGGTAGATGGGGTTGCATTTCTCTACCATATGAACTATAACAAGACAGTATTTACAACAACGCTCAGGATTGATTTGAATGCGAGTAGACAAAAAAAACGAATTTCGAGTTGGTAAGCCTGACACATGATATCAGTTTCTAACTTTTCACAATAAGCACTGGTTGTAGGAGGATATGATCTTGTTTGGGCGAAGTTAAAGTATTGCAGCCAAAGTAAAGGTCTTTCAAAAGTTGACCTTAAAGAACCTATCAGATATAGGGAATGCCTGCCTTTTTGAACTTGGATGGGGTGGATACAGTATTCTACTCATTTCCTAGGTACCTTCTTTGCATATCTATATGGTTAGGTAGGGTTATGGCTTTTAAGATTAAGCTTAGGGTCTAGGGTTAAAGTTAGAATTAGGAATTTAGTTGTATACACTAAACCGAGTGTCATACGGTAGTGGGAAGTGCGAGCATAAAGCTGAACAAACGCCAACAATAGCTAACTTTCAGCTACTATTTTTATTAAAAGGTACCATACAGCTCAAAGACTATGCTCTTAGATACATTTATGAAGAAAAAAATACTGTGTAAGGTTCAACGAATACTTCTAAAAGCGTAAACAAACAATACCAAAAAGAGAATACTACTACTACTCATTTGAATGCATGTCTCTATCTAACTACCATGGGAATATTCTGAAATCCACCGGCTAGCTACCAACAAAAAATCACTGGTCGCTGCCCGTAAGCACACAATATAAGCTTTTAACGTCCTAAGACTACTAAGTAAAGCCTAAAGACATATTTTAATGCCATAGAAACATGAAAAAAAAACACTTCGAAGCAACATTCACATACCTTGTTGTTTGAGCTGTTCAACTTGCAAACGGCACAATAGGAAGCAGTAGCTACACAAGCCATGTATTTTGGTTTAACCTAAATGGAAAATAAAATTTTGTTATCGGAGTTTGATAATGAAGACTGGTAAGTAATGAAAAATTTAGTAAACATGTATAGGAAATGTACTAATAATGCCAACTAGGACTGGAAATGAACAATTAGTCAAGATGTGAGATTTGAAACTTAAGTAAAACATGGCTACTACATGAAGTTATAATAATCAAAAGTTGATGTGGCTTTTTACCGACACTTGGTTCTAATCTAAGCAGTCAGTAATTGATGCTAGTACAAATGAAACAAACATAGGTGTTGATGACAAAAGGAGATAGTGACAAAAAGAATACCAGATAAGTAGAAGAGTGGACTACAGCAACTCAGTGCATTATTATAATCAAACGCAAAGATATCTGCCCAACAAAAATTAAACCCTAGTGCTTAGAGTTGGACTATTAATCAAAGTTCTTCGCACAACCAAGATCAACTGCAATTCGGGCCACTTAAGCTGACCAACTAGCTTTCTAAGCCAGGGAGTCAGTAGATGATGATTAGTAGTTAAATGTAGCAAGAGAAGAAAATAACTTCTGTATGTCTCATCAACCTATTGCAGTACCGCTTATAACAAACAGGATTAATATGTACCATGTTAAAACAGAGATGAAAAGAAAGTTCAGAAGACCACTGAAGACATTGGTGATACAAAGCACTCTGCTTTTACCCACACTGAGCAACATTTGTGAGTCTACTTAGTCAAGTATCCCTAGGGCAGGTTAACTGGTGACTTTCAGGTTCTGGTGTCTGTGTCTTAAATATTTGGAATGAGGCTCATCTCGTAGTGACCAAGTTTGTCTAAGTAAATACATAATAATAATGATACATCCCTTATGGGGAACTCAATATACACATGGAATACACTACACCACATAATTTAAAAAAAAAACAGACTTAGTGAGCTGGTGTTATGACCCTAAACTCTACTCCAAAACAGTCAAACTCCAATTAACATAGGATATCAGATACCATATACTGATCAAATGCTTACTCACCTTGACTTTGACAATAAAACGATCTATCAGGTTAACAGCTTTGCAAAACGTTTCCGTAGATAGATTGAAGAAGGAATTATGCATGAAGCGAAGATTGTGCACTGCCTCATTTCTTAGTACAGCATCTACTTTGTCATCCACTTCCTGTTAATGAAAACGAACAATAAGTGTTACCACAGCAAATACGTTGTGTAATATGACAGATATCAACAGAAAATGATGAGAAGTAATATCATGAAAATCACTATAACTGCATAGTGCATTGGTACAACCACTCAACAATCAAGTCCGAATCTCGCTTTACTATATTCAGCCAGCATCAGAAGCATTCCAATACCAAGCCTAGAACATGAGTAACATTGACATTCACAGTGAAAAAAGTAAGCCAACTACAATGCTGTTTGTAGTTCTCCAAATTACTTGGCTGTAGCATCATGCATTTTTCTACAATTTACCTAAGAAGTAACTTAAGTACAAATATAAATGTGTCCCTAGTCAATAAATGACTTCACAACAAAAAACACTAAAAGTTAGTTGAGAACTTACCGGGTTCACATAATAAAGAAAGGCATTATTTGGTTGGTAGGTGAACTCCTTTGAAAGTAGGTCGTGTAGAAGATCTTTGTTGAGAAGTGATAGCTGAAAATAGCGTAGGAAGAAAATTGTCATGTACAAACTTGAATAAAATATATGCAATGTATACTATAAGTACAAGTCAATTGTGATCGTTCTCACTTGTTTTGGGTTGCCAGATTAACACTAACTTGCGCGTTCACAATAAGAACACAAAGAAACTTTTAAACTAAATGAGAAAAGTTTATGGAGGTCCCACAAATGCCTGTTCGGTAACTAAGATCTACGCAGATGTAACATACATATAAATAAAGCAAAAATTATTATTATTATTATTATTATACAACCCGCTGTCTCAGAATCTCCTGTCGTTAATACGAGCTATACATGAATAAGTTGTGTTGATTCAAGTTTCGACTATCACAGGAACAGATATTTTAATAGTATAATTCAAATTATAAGACTGAATAATCTACACTTCACTTATCTTAAAGTTTCATAAACACAAGTGATTCCAAATGCGAGATGAACACAAAATCAGACGAGTTATACTTACCTTGCAAAACATATGTGAATAATACTTTTTCGATAAATCTAAGCGAAGGCCGCTTTTTGGTAGCGAACACAGTTGACGGAGGAAACAAGATTCAGGGGCAGATACTGAGATATCATCCAACTTCTCATTTGAGTGGCCACCATGCTCCGGACGTGGGCGCTTATAATCCGAAAAAATACTAGATTGTTCATTGGAGTACAATTGATGAACGGGTCTCGAGTCAGTTGAGTTACTTGAAACATTTACAATATTGGGTGATTGGGAATCATTCCCACTGTACATAACTGTTGATGAATCACATTTTTGAGCCCTCCTTATACGGCTAGGGTACCGTTTGTATTGGGAGATGCTACGTTTAGATGCCCTGAGAAAACCAAATCTGGATCTGTTAGTATAAAAAGATGCAGCACAGCCGCCATTAGTGGAATGCGTCATTTGGGAAGGAAATGAAGGTTGATGTTGATTGAAAACCTTAGCCATGAACTTTTCTATTAGTTGTAGTCGACGAGATGTGGTTTCTTCTTGTGTTCAGGATGAGAATAAAGTATGAAAATATATATCAGCTGAATTGACTCAGGATAATGCAAAATAAAACAAAGTAATCTGTAAGTTCAGAAATAGGCTGCGGTTCAAACAAAGAGAATGTATCACGAACAAATCAACGACGACCTGAGAACTTGCTGGTCGAAAGTAAGGGATACTGCCGTGTCCAATATATACAACAATGGGCTACGCTCACAAAGACCAGTGTTCCTTTAAACCAATAAACAAATAGTATTCTGAACCAATAAGAATAAAGGTCATTGATAATGACATTCTTACAACATAAATTGACCAAACAGCTGCTTGCTTGGATAAATCAATGAGTTGAGTTTAACCAATCAGAAAGCAACAAATTTATTTTCGACCTTGTTTGTTATAATCAAATAACAGACAAGTTTTTACAATTGCCCTAGATGTTATGACGTGAGGTGTTGTTTATTGGTTAACTACTATTGGTCGACCTTTGTTTAGCTGATAAACTTCTAAATCTTTTGGTAACTATGACAAATATTAACCACTGAAGCAAATCTAAGGCTTAACATTGTCGAAGGAGGTTTAGTACTACGATCATTTTAGTAGGGGATGTCACGTTCCAGTTTATTTAGGTATAGACAACAAGCCTTAGTTACTCAGATCTTAATCACTTTGTCCATTTTTATCGCATCAATGGCTGAGAGGGGGAGTGTTTCTGGAACATCCACTTCACATTATGGTGTGAAGAATTCCAGCTTTTCACTTAGGTTACATATTCATTATTCTTAACTCTCACTAATGATGTTCTAATCTATAAATAACACTATTTCAGGCGCCAATATTCCTACCATTTCTTGAGTAAACTGTTTCGTATTCATCTGACAGAATCAGTTTTCAGGAAGTCTGTCGGCTTATAGTATGATTGTCTCGATACTCCCGTAGCCTGTGTTATGATGTTATCATTTCGCGTTGTATAAATAATTGTTTGTATTTGTGACTTAATCAACGTCTGTGTTATCCAAAATACATTAAAGAGAAGACCGTAGGTGTGTCATAGTGAAAAACGTTATCTTATCATCCCAGTACCGCCACTTTCTGTCGTATGGCTAAATCTACTACAGAATAGAACCAAACACCACTAAATTATTTTAGAATTACAGTTTGAAAAAAAAATTTTTTTATTCAGTTATCATGAAGATCAATATTTCGTTATTGGAGTAAGTCTAAAGTTTGTTTTTGTGTACATGATACGAATAAATTAAAATTAATCTTTCAAAATATTGATGTTTTAGCATGAAAAATTAAGTAGCTAGTGATGACACTAGAAATCTTAGCTGAATCACTAAGTTTTGTATACTGGTAGTAACTGAATGCTAATATCTTATCATCATTGAGTTTTTTTTTTAAAATATCAATTTTGATATTCGAGTTAAGTCGTATTATAAAATTAAAAATCTGTTAAATGTAACTTGACTAGAAGAGGTTATATCATAGACTTCTATCAACTGAAAGAACCCCTGAAGACTGCAGCCCACAGTTGCTTCCATCTCCAGGAGATTCTTCAGATTGTAGAATCACGACATAGAGGTCGGTCGAAATCAGAACAGTCAAATCTGATTTCAATAGTCTGACTTCCAATATAACTTCATCTAACTGGGCCAACAAATTTCACTTACGATAACTAGAATTCACCGTTGTGCGATGTGGTGTGTGCTACTGATAACATTCATCAGTAGTATGTAAAGCGACGTTCATCGGCACTAAAAAACATCAAATAACAGGAAGACAGATTTTATGTCCGAGAAAGTAAGTGATACAGCGTTGTGGAGATACATGAGAGACGTGAAAGGAACACAAAGAAACACAATATGAAGGAAGACCAGAAGTAGGAAGATCTGTGGAAATGATGCGTTGAATATAAGGTGTACATAATTTGGCTATATAGAGGTACCAAGTCTTTTGTCTTCTAATAAATTTCGTTAGGACTCTTTCACTAGTTAATTTACATACTTGGTCATAAAATATTAACCTAATGGACGTGTAGTATGACAGATAAAACAGCTGTTCCGAATGACAAGATGATAATGAAAACTGTAAAGACTAAAGGTAAGTTTCATCACGATGAACAATGAAGTCAGTAATCATTTTGGAGGCTTGTTAACTGTACGCCTAAAAGATAATACCTGACTTCATATAAGATGGTGAACTAATGTCATTTAGAGAACCACTGAAAACTGCAGAGTACTGGACAGATGTTTCGTCCTAGTTCGGGACTCTGCAGCGATCGTGCCCAGGAGCTTCAGGACACGAGGTCAGTCAGTGAAACAGCATCCAATAGGCCATGATTTCTGACTTCTGTCAGTTTCTGTCATAAATGATATAGCCGCCTGCTAATGTCATCGATGAATGTCTATTCTTACACGCTACTTCGCTGACCTTAGTGGTCATAACTTCTCGCTAGAAGTGAAGTCAGTTTATGATGTAACTTGGAACCATTTTAGTTCCCTGCAAATCAATGTTTGAAAATTTTGGTGAATGAAAGCAATAGACTTTTGACATACTGTCGTTATAAGCCTGATTATTGTAATTTTGAAAAGATAATAACAGTTTTTCACAAAAGCGTTTAGGATAGTTCCACTTTAACAGAATATAAGTTTAAATGCGTAATTTATCTAACCTAGATATCCGAAAGATGGATGTTTGCCACGATATTGATTATCTTTACTGCATGGTATCTTTCAAAGTCCATATATTAATTGCACATCACAGAAGGTACGTCATTAGTTCAGCAGTAAAATCCTCGCCAACCACACACGTTGCCCAAGTCCAAATCCTGGCTGACACACGCCTAAACCTCACTTAGCAAACTATAAGATCAGTAAAGAGGAAAGGCTGGGTGTGAGGCTACCAACCCCATCCCTTAAAAAAGAAAAAACACCACTACTACTTTAATTTCAAAGCTCTACTTGGTACTCAAAGGGGTAAAATTAAAAATTAAATTCATATCATTGAAGTATTTGAGTTATTTTGAAGGTATTCAGCTCTTCGCTTTGTTACATCCTGCATAAAAGTCTTCTGTTTTTGTATTTCATTTTATTGTTATTGAGCTTTGTTTGTTTGTAATATATTATCGTGATGGAATGAGTCATCCCACAATACCATTGTTGTCCCTCTGTCTTTCTGTCTCACTTTTTTTAAATATTAGCTTTCTGCTACGTCCATTATTCAGGTAAAAGCTACTATTTAAGGTTGATTTTATTATTGTGTCCATTTCTAAATATAGTAATGGGTGAGACTTAGTTATGACACGTATGCATGTGGGTATGGGAACCATTTAGTTATGACTCATTATCTCTTTTTACTACCTTGTTAAGACCATCAGTATATATATATATATATATATATATATGAGAGATGATTATCTGAGGCTTGTAAACATCTCCTTTATGGAAAGGAACATTTTACAACTGTTCACAGTCAGAGAGAGAGAGAGAGATCATATTCATCTGATAGTGTTAAGTGTTACAGTACAAACAATCCCTGACCTCCAGAAAACCAAGATGACTTAGTACGTTCGTGAGATAAATAATTTACAGGTAACCAACGTCTTATTACAGTTGCAACTGTAAATATATAACATATGATACAATGGGAATACGTCATTGTCAGTGATTAGTTTCTGTGATCTACTGTCTGAGAGACACTGGTCCAAACACTATAACGACTGTAGTAGTATTCAAATTTACTGTCATCTTTCGAAATCTTTCTGTGGCTGAGGATTTCGTGTAAAACCCATCTAGTGCTTTCTAACGTCAGAAATCACTGTAACAGATTCCTTCATCTGATCTTATAAAACCCATCACAGGATTAATTAAGGAACCAAATCAATCGATCAAATAATTAGTCTTAACTGATTAAGGTGATCAAGATATATGTCACTCATACTAAACCTCTATCTTCGTCAAAAGTAAAGTTAGATGAAGTATGATTGGATTGAAAAAGAGTTAGAGGCTGATCAACTCAAGACATAACATAAATCCATGAATTAGGCGACGGTTAATTTGAACCATGTACAGAGATTCACGTCGCCTAGCACAGTTAACGAAAATACAGTCTGTTACGTAACTTGAAGAAGTCTTTGTTTTCCAATAAAGCATGTGTACTCACTTCTTATGATCTTATGAAATTTTGCACCTCTTCATTAGTCTTCACATTTGTGCAGTGTAGTATACTATTCCATATCTGGACTTCATCATGAGCTGACATCGGTTAGAAAATCATTGGAAAACCTGCAGGGAGTACTGGACAGCTGTTTCGTTCTGATTTGGGACTTTTCACAGTACGCATTCACTTCCGGAGTTCGGACCCTGGTTAAAGAGCCAGCGATCTCGTAGACCTTTAAGCCACTGGGACCTGCCAATCCAATGGCTCAAGAATCCAAGCTCCTGCCAGTTCACGATATAGTGCAACCACTAATGAATGTCATCCATGGGAAATATTTGTCCTCACACCCAATCTGCTGTACCTCACTGGTCATGACTTATCACTTAAACCCAGGTAAGTACCTACCTGGATGGGTCCATTCGCTAGTGAGCATCGGATTGATAGTCAAGCGTTGGTTTGCGGAAGTTGGAATTCATGCATTGGCCATTGGATCAGTGGTTCCCAGTGGCTTAATGGTCTACGAGCTCGCTGGCCTTGCAATAAGAAACATGGTGGGTTCGAACCCTAGTGGTGGGTGAGTATTGTTGAAGAGTCTCAAACTAATGGGACGAAACAGCTGTCCAGTACTCCAGTGCTAGTTTTCCAATGGTTCTCCAACCGATGTTAGCTCATGATGAAATCCTCCTTACAAACCAACACTTGAATATTCTATTTCTCTTCTTTACTTTATGCGTTCTGTTTCCAAATTTAACAATTTAAAAATTATTGCATTTCTTGCCAACATTTATTTTTGTTGATCTGTCAGTCAGTTAGACATCACAGAAACAGTCTTTTTTTCCTTTTCTATCTTTCTTTCTTTCCTTCCAGTTAGAATGTTAAAGAGCCAAGTGATTGTAACCTTTGTTCAATGTAATGAGATGAAATGAAATTAGTGTATTAGAATTCATGTGTGGTTTAGAAAGGTCAAGTTCAATAATCTTAATTATCTTCTAGTTAGATTATATATACCCTTTGCATATAATTACAAGCTGTTCGTAACCTTCTATTGCATAGT